GGTTTGTAAATATTCTGATATAAAATGATATTCTGATATAAAATTATTTGAAACCCTATTTTGGCTCTGATCTTTCACGCTAAATAAACTGTTTTGGCATCAGTGTTTTTTTCCCAATTAAAACAGGTGACAAAGGCGAATAAGGAAGCATATAGAAGAATTATTTATTGCTGAACTGAAGAAACTGTAACAGAAAGATAGAAAAGCTTATATCTTAATCACTTCAAACAGAAAAATATGAATCATACTTAATCTTCGCAGCCGGTGATATAGTGCAAACTGCACTATTAGTTTAGAAAAAAAAATCTAAAAACATGGGCGTCTGCAAGGTTTTCTTAAAAAATATTTTATACTTAAGTAAATGTAGAAAATTACTTAAATAGGTACTACAAAAATGTATTTATTTAAAAAAAGTATTTAGAAAATACGTATTTTGCATTTAAAATCTATTTTGTATTTTTCATTTGAAATAACAAAGTATTTGCATTTTGTATTTGAATACTTTTAAGAAACCATTTTGCACATCTCTAATTGCTTAACAATACCATGAACTGTTAATATCACCCACACGGTACAATCCATTTTCTGCAACTTTTCTGTGTCATTAATGGGACCAAGTGATTATGTTTACCATGTTTTCATCGTGTTTTCGTTATATTCATGTAATAAAAGTCTTATGCACTACTACTTCTAAATACTTAACGAGGTTAAATACGATTAAGCCCAAACATACACTAAAAAAATATATCTTGTAATGCAATTCTTGAAATTTCCTGGTTGGTTTCATATTCTACTCCATCAAATAGTCAGAAATAATAATAACAATAATCGGGAATAACAACAGTGGAATCAATTTATGATTATAATGATTTAACTTTCGTTCATAATATTGTTAGTGTTAAAAGAAATATTAAACTTACTGCGTAACCAAAGATGCTCATTTATTTCATTCATCTAATACATACATATAGGAACATCGCCTTGCGAGGCAATAGAATTTATTACTACTACTACTGGTAATAGTTAATAAGTGCGTCCATCTTTAAAGTATTGTAAAATCATTAGATGATAGAGGACATTTTGCCCGTAGATTTTGTAAATAAATAAATAGAATTACCCTATCTAAGCGCAAATTCTTTTCAAATGAATTAGCTTTTGTTGGTAGATAAGGTACGTCCTTACTATCCGTTGCAATGCGGCAGTTATGGATTATTAAAGCTAGAAACAATTGTTTATTACGGTAACAAAAGTGCACTGTAATCTATATTTATTTTTTAGCGAAACAGACGCGCTCTGATATTTTAAATAATGATTACAAAGAAACCTATTACAAAGCTAGGTTCCGTCTACGTTATAGAGGTAGAGATAGTATAAACAAAAATAAAAATAATATTATCACGTACTGTCGATCTGGAATTACATGTTTACTGTTTTAAAGGGGAAAAGAAAGTTTGCGGAAGATTTATTAAGTGCATGGGATTATTTTCTAGTAAAACGCTTTCACTTTAATAAATGCAGTGCAATTTATTGACATTGGGATGAGGTCAAGCACCGCAACGCCATGTGTTTTGTTATATTTTAATTATGGCGAGATTCCTCCGACAATAATTAAACTACAGTCACTACCACACAATATAACAATTTCTTAGGGTTTAGTTCCAACTGGAATACTTCAAATTATTCGTGATTTTTATTAAAAATTCCAATTAAGCGCCAACATCTTGGAAATCGAAAATAGAAGCGTTAGTTAGTTCAATCATTTTATTAATTAGCTATTCCAAAAAATCCTGTCATTACAAGAGACAGCCGCACAAAATTTCATTACAAAAACGCCCACGTTAGAACCGTAGATATTAGCATATTATTAGGTATGCATTAAGTGATGATTCCGGTGGAATCGTTCGTTGTTAAACACAAATATATTTCGTTCCGAAATAACCTGATTACGGAACGTGATTCTTTACGTTATAGTCACAACTGGAAGGTTCCCCAAAAGACACCACTTTTTTGTGATGTTGCTCCATACAATGCAAGTTGACATACCTATGTAATATCAAGGTGCCTATCAGATGCAAATACAAAATAAAAAATAACTATTTTTATTTTGCATTTAAATACGTTTCTGAAAAAAGCATTTTGTATTTTATTTATAATACTTTCCCAAACGTATCTATTTTTTATTTGTAAAATGCAAAATACGTTTTTACTTTTAAAAGTTTTGCTAGTATCACCGATCAAACATTATATAATGTTGAATGAATGTTGCTCACATTGGCCATTGAAGGTATTAGAAGCTTAAAAAGGGAACAAAGAGACATTTCATGAATGCCTTCTAATTCTTTAAATGAAGAGAGCCCAAAAAATTCTAAACTCCTTAAAAA